TAATACTACATTTTTAGCTGATGGGTAGAATCGCACTGATACTACATTCAGCTGAAGGGTAGGATTGTCCTAATACTACATTTAGCTGATGGTAAGGATTGTCCTGATACTATGTTTAGCTGATGGGCAGGATTGTCCTATTACTACATTTTTAGCTGATGGGTAGAATTGCCCTGATACTACATTCAGCTATAGGGTAGGATTGTCCTAATACTACATTTAGCTGATGGGCAGGATTGTCCTGATACTATATTTAGCTGATGGTATGGATTGTCCTGATACTATGTTTAGCTGATGGGCAGGATTGTCTTAATACTACATTTAGCGTATGGGTAGGATTGTCCTAATACTACATTTAGCTGATGGTAAGGATTGTCCTAATACTACATTTAGATGATGGGTAGGATTGTCCTGATACTCCATTTAGCTGATGGGCAGGATTGTCCCAATACTACATTTAGTTGATGGGCAGGATTGTCCTAATACTACATTTAGCTGATGGGTAGGATTGTCCTAATACTATATTTAGTTTATGGGTAGGATTGCCCTGATACTATATTTAGCTAAAGGGTAGGATTGTCCTAATACTACATTTAGCAAATGGGTAGGATGTCCCAATACTACATTTAGCTGATGGGTAGGATTTTCCCAATACTTAATTTAGTTGATGGGTAGGATTGTCCTAATACTACATTTAGCTGATGGGTAGGATTTTCCCAATACTTAATTTAGTTGATGGGTAGGATTGTCCTAACACTACATTTAGCTGATGGGTAGGATTGTCCCAATACTTAATTTAGTTGATGGGTAGGATTGTCCTAACACTACATTAAGCTGATGGGTAGGATTGTCCCAATACTTAATTTAGTTGATGGGTAGAATTGTCCCAATACTTAATTTAGTTGATGGGTAGAATTGTCCTAACACTACATTTAGCTGATGGGTAGGATTGTCCCAATACTTAATTTAGTTGATGGGTAGGATTGTCCAACACTACATTGAGCTGATGGGTAGGATTGTCCCAATACTACATTTAGCTGATGGGTAGGATTGTCCTAATACTACATTGAGCTGATGGGTAGGATGTTCCAATACTACATTTAGCTGATGGGCAGAATTTTTCTAATACTACATTTACTAATACTGATTGGTAGGATTGTCCAAAAAAAATTGTAGAAAGAGTATTTCACAAAAACCTTGAATCGGGGACGAGTGTCCCGAAAGTAATTTTTCAAAACTAATTTTTAGAAATAATATAAAGGAGGTCTGAGTGGTGAACGGTACAGGCCACCTGACCGCTTAGGCGCTTCCCCTCGCGGCTACCTTATCATTCCCCAGTCAAGATTTAAACAATACAGTGATTAGGTAGGACCGGAGACTAGGAGACGGGTTAAACAATGTGTTTTCCGAGTAGACTCTAATGAAACTGTAAAATAGTTTCTAAACTAGGTTTATACGTTTCTTGGAATATTCCGGAACTATGGAGAAAAGTTTATTGACTGGATTCCATTTATGACTTGAATAACAAGTATGGATATTTACGAGTTCTAGGTTCAGGTTGAATACTGATACGTTATAGGTAATTTCATTAAAGAAATCTACAATTTTTCTCAACGACATCTGCATAATGAAGACCGAGAACTAATTGTTTTAGGACAAAAAATAACTCTTTTTCACGAACTAAAATTTTTTAAAACCTATATCTTTTTCACCTGATGGTTTAAACCTTTAAAATTAAAAAAGTATAGCATATTTGATCTAACAGAAGTCATAGTTTGAAATATCAAGATCAACGACATTGTGTTGCAAAGATATAACGCTTAAAAAATATGAGTTTGTTTGTAAAGACTTACTTCCTTTTCTGTTTGTTGGAGTGGTTTAAATCCATAATCAATAGTTGATTAAATATTATGAAAGGAGACCCTTTTGGCAGGAATTGTAGTTTCAAATACCATTTTTTTTAAATTAAGAGTTACTTAAAATTACGTTCATAGTCCCTTTAACTGTTTATTGACTATGGGCTTTCTGAAATATCACCTTTTACGTCGTTATANAAAAGCGCTTTTTATCGCATTAAGCGGAAATTCAAGTTTTCTCTCTGTATACAAAATTCAAGAAAATGGCAAAAAAACTAATTTTGATATATTCAAAACGCATACCTAATACACAAAAATGCAAAAACAAACGAAAAGAGATAAAAAATTTACTTTGGCAAAATCATTTTTTAGAAACAGCTGGGAATTTAGATTAAAAAAATAAAGAAAATTTAAAAAAATAAAATTCAAAATATTTCTTAAAAAAATATGCAATACTGATCAGAGTTAATTATGGAAAAGGTTCCAACTCAGATATTTTAATTCTGTAGTTTAACCTTAAATCTATTTGCTTTGTGTACAAACTTAACATAAACAATGTGTAACGTGTTTAAAACTTCAGATTTAATGTGACATTTCTTACATGTTCTTCTAGCGGTTAAAGATTGAAAATTTCTAGTTTACATACCAACTCCAAACCAAATAGTTGGAGGCATCTATCTACAGAATTAATGATCTGGGAGCTCTCAGCTACAAAAAGTGAGACTTTCATTTCTCAACAAAAGTTTCTGAAATCGATCTAAACTTCAATTTTGATAATTTAAAATTTATCTCTACAGAATTAAGAATCAATCAGTATGTTCGGATGGTAGGGGATAGCAGTTCATTTTCTCTAGGCCGAGATTGCACCAGGGATGTTGCTCAACCTGACATAACTACTTTATGCAATTCAAAAGACTTGACCTTTGTGAAAAATTTTAATTTACAAGCCAATAAAGTAAAGTTGTCTGAAAGCATGTGTAGACAAACAAATCGCTTCTTTCAAATATATACTTTTTACTTATTTTACAAAACATACATTGTTACTTGTTAGCAGACTGCGACCTATATATTTGCAACCTGTTGCAGATGGTGATAGTTCAAACTTATTTTTTGATCCAACAGAAATTATTAAAAAAAGTGTTTTATGCTTTTTAGCCTAGTAAACATCATTTTATTGTACTAACAAGTATTCCTTGGGACCGAGTATGTACAATGCCAATAACTGGAGAGGGGGGGGGTCTGAAATACCATATGTATTAGAAATTGTGCTTGATCTCTTTTACAAAGTTTTTTTTCAAAGAAAACAACAAATATCTTTATTCAAGATTCATGATTATACATTTTATTGAGATTACAGTTAACATATACAGATAGATATTATGAGAAATAAAATAGAATAATATTTAATTTTTTTTAAATTTCCCGGAAAAGAGACCGAGCACATTTTCGAATATAAGCCTACTTTTAAAGGTTAAAACGGCATTTTACAGCAAAATATTTTATGTGCATTGGACCCGTCAAAAACATTTTTAGTACAATAAAACGAGGTCGAAAAGAGAAATTTTAAATACAATCTTTTTCAGAGACAGATAGTTGAAATATATCTTAGGTCAAGGACATAAAGTTGCAAAAATATTGGGATTAGAAAATCAGAGTTGTGACAAAGAATCACGTGCTTTTGAGATTTAGGAATACACCAGTTTTATTTTAAAACTACACCTAAAGTTGTATAATCCGTGTCGGTACAACACGTACTGTAAGTGCAGTCCGTGGTGCTGTCCAGTCAGGCTAGAGTAGAGTCGACTCAGCACGTTTTATCAACAATTATGTTGATTAGCAAGATCACAGTGAGCTTGAGTTCTCAGTGCGCAGAACCAGACTTAACATTCCGAGAAATTAAATTAGAAAATTAATCTAGGAAGGAAGAAATTTAATTTGTTTTAATGATATTTTATATCCCTGAAAGGAGGAGAGGAGTATCTCAAGACTCCATAAACCCTTGAGATTAAATACAATGGGAGAGGTTTAAGTTTAAGAATTTTACAGTACTAGGCTTTTAGGCGCTTCGACCATCATTCATTTTAATTGTGAACATTTTTTCTTTGAACAATGTACAATGTACAATGTAAAACAAAAACAAAACGAAATTTTCGCGGATTTAGAAAAAAAAATGTCGTGGATTTTCAAAATTTAATGACATTCTAATTTTCTTGGATGCAAATTTTTTTTTTTAATTTTGATCATTCATAAACCTTCCTTGGGGACATGTAAAGTCCCACAAGAAATTTGGGTTCGATCGGTTTAGCCGTTTTGAAGTTTATTGGATACAAACAAAACAAGCAAAGTATATTGAACAGTATTCCGCATGATATATTTGGGGGACAGTTCTTCCATTTTTGAATGTTGGGTGAAAAAAATGGCATGTCCCTATTGTACCCTTAAACATCTTTATCTAAGCTAAACTAAATTAGATTTGTTAAATTCTATAAAACACAAATAAAATTCTTTTGTGGAAGTTTTTTAAGGTTTGATAAATTCAAAGAAATGCTAAATTTTTCAAATAATTGAGCTCGCAGCCTCACACAGGACTTTATGGGAATTTATTGATAGCAACAAATTCAGTAATGTTCTTAAAAAGAAAAGAAAAAAGAATTTACCATAAAAAATATTGATGCTTGAAAGACGAAAATGCAAATTCCAAAAGTGTCAATACCATAAACGTCTGATATTGAAGAAGAAAAGGAATTTCCCTGACTTTTCTTTTCTTTAAGATTAAATATCTAGCTGAGCAGATCTATTCAAATAAAGCATAGATATTGAATGAATGATTATAAATATTTCATTTACATACACTATTTATAGAACTATAAAATTAAATTGTTAGAATGAACGATTAAATGTTTCAAAAATGTCGATGACTTTTTTCGTGCTAAGAAAATTGAAATTTCCACTTCGACTTTTCAAGGGGTTTAAACCAAGAAAAAAATACTGAAATAAACTTGACAAATTCTCTGACATTCTTTTTAAGAAAAAGTTTTTAACGATACTGTTGCAAATCATGAATATAGATTCAGTTTAAGGGTTACTTAGAACCACGTTGACAGTTATTTAATAAAGTTTGAATTTTTTTTCTTTTTCAGATATTAATGGGGTGATTCCTCCCAATAATGATGAAAAATGTCTGCTGCCGTTGTTAGTGAAAATACGTATACATGAACCCAAATCAAAGTTATAGAACTAAAAAGGAATTTTATAATTTATCCAGAAAACAAAACTTGAAATGAAATCAATCATACAAAAAATGTCACATATATATGTCGGTTTAGAAGTTTTAAGTGTAATAGCAGATATTGTTTTTTCTTTGATCTAAAATGCTAAACTAACCTTTCCCTGGAAATGAAAATCTGGAAATCTCTTAGAAAATAAAACCTCTACAACATCTATAGCAATTTTAAACTTTATAAAACACCAATCTCTCATCATCTCTGACGCTTAGAGTTAAAACTCTTAAAGCACTAATAAATCCATGCGTATCATCACTAGACCCTACAGAGACACCTTATAATTCTGGTTTAGACCTCTTAAAAATCCATGCGTATCATTACTAGACCCTACAGAGACACTTTATAATTCTGGTTTAGACCTCTCTCTGTATTATAAACCAGAACCCCTATAGATCTCTCTATAAACCCCTTTACAGACCTTTCAAACTTTATAATACCTAAGCACTCTGGTTATTCATGCAGTGCCAACTCTTTATTTTGCTCTCAATTCAGGTCTTTAAAGGACGGTACCCTCTAAACCTTTGTTTAGTCATCGAATATAGAGATATCTGTGTGTAAATCTATTGAAAACCACTTGAACTCCTATGAAAGCCGTTGTCCACTGCGTACATGGCGAATATAACACGGCTGATCCGTTACTTGTGTTCCGTGAAATCACTGAAGTTTTTACGTTATTAAAGCGGGTTTAAAAATTCAGAAATAATTTTTAATTTTCGCCCTACAATACTGGAAAGTTTATATTAATATTTTAAATATAAAACCGCTTGCAACCATTTAGTATTAAACAATTTAAAATCTTTTCTGTAGATTTATTAGGGTGGTATTCCGCTATAATTGATAAAAAAGGTTTAGATGGTATTGTTTGGAATCGGATACGTCACTCTAGAAATGGAAGATCACTCGAAAGTACGCCTGTCTTTTTAATAGTTTTAATCTGCTTTCACCGACACCCTGCAACCGTTTAAAAGTAAAGAATAGCCCAGTGCAATTTCCAATATTGGATAAAATGCTTAACATATACAACATTGGATATTGATAGAACGGTTATATTGAGAAGAGGTATGAAAACTTGCTTTGTAACAAAAAATCAACCAATGTTATTTTTAATCAGACCTTTAAAATATAATTTAGAATCTACGGTGGTTTGAGAAACGCACTATAAACATTTTAACCATATTTTCAAGATTCATTTAATCAAAGGACTGGAGTGTAGCAAGAGGATAATCGAGGGTTTTTCCTTTATTTAAAGGGAGTGTGCGCGAAAAATGAAAGAGGGTATAGGCATAATGCGCTTTTGATCGCTACTAATTTTACTTCTATCTGTTGCGTCTATAAGGAGAAAATTGTTAAAGACGTCTCATACCGAATAACATGGCGTCCATACAAATTGAGAAAATTGCAACATACGACTTAGACCGTTAAAAAATCAATTTAATTTCAAACAAATCATTTAGATATTACGACCTATAGTCATCGATTATCTTTCGCCACATTTATATATAGTTGATTTTTCATGATATGTTTTAATTGTTATGATCTGAGAGTTACTTATTAAAACATTTATTCCTGTTTCGAGGATTTTTGGTAATGAAGACGACATTTTCATATTTTCCAGGAATGTTCGAAAACAAGTTGTAAGCTAAATATTATTTTAAAAAACAAAATCAAAACTAGTATGAAATATAAAATATATACAAATGTGGCGAAAGATAATCGATGACTATAGGTTGTAATATCTGAATGATTTGTTTGATATTAATTTGATTTTTTTACGGTCTAAGTCGTATGTTCCAACTTCCTCAATTTGTATGGGCGCTACGCTCTTCGGTATGAGACGTCTTTATCAATTTTCTCCTTATAGACGCAACAGATAGAAGTAAGATTAGTAGCGATTAAAAGCGCTTTTTATCGCATTAAGCCTATACCCCCTTTCATTTTTCGCGAACACTCCCTTTAAGAACTTAAAGGTCTTACAATTGAAAGTCCGTTTCCCGCACAAAGGAACTGAATACTCTCCTCAAACTCCAATTTCTTCATCATTATATATTTGCAACCTAATATTTCAAATTAAAAACTCTAAACAAATGGTCAAAGTTTGAAGTTTTACACCAACCGATACAAAGATAAAGGTAATAGGAAATGAAAGTTTCAGACAAGTATAATCAGAGGCCGAATTTAAAGAATTTGAGCCGCGTCTTAAATTTGAGACGCGGATCAAACATGGTTGGTTCCACTTAAAATTATATTCAGTGTTCTGAGATTTGAGCGACGCGACGCGGTTTAAATTCTTTAAATTCGGCCCCAGTTCTTTCGAATAACTAAGTCTCCGAAGTCTAAATTAAGCTTCCCGTCAGAATGTTTTGGAATTAATCTTAGAAGATTTCTTAAAGATTGATCAGACAATTACACATTTTAAAGCGGATTTATCAACGACATTGATAGATTTCTATAGCGGATTTATCAACGACAATGATAGATTTCTATAGCGTATTTATCAACGACATTGATAGATTTCTATAGCGGATTTATCAACGACATTGATAGATTTCTATAGCGGATTTATCAACGACATTGATAGATTTCTTCAGTAAATGTGGGAAAATAGCATTTGGTCTGTTCTGGATAAGTATATAAGGTTAGATACTCTGGATGCGCTCCAATGTATGTAAATGTCGTCTTTAATGCAATAGACACTCTTAATCCTCATATGACGTCACTGATACTTAACTAACAATCATCACATTTAACAAATATTGTGCTTACATGTCTGATGCTAAAAAATGCAATTCTAATTCAAGTTTTCAATACTTGAGTTCGTTTATATTTAGTGAGCTGCAAAAATGTATTATTCTTCAAATTAAGCAGTGAAGTCATATGAAGTTTCAGCTAGAAAGGTCGTCTTTACCTACACTGGAGCGCATCCCGAGTATCTAATTTTATTATACTTATACTTGTATTGGTTCTGGATAAATTCGAGAATATAATGAGGTTGTGTTGTTTGCTTGAGATGTGGTGGTGGTGGTATGCTGCTGCAATCAAACTGTAATCCTTCAACTATCATTCTGCATTTCATTCTTTGTAAGATTTTACTTTATCTAAACTTAACATTTGTTTTTTTTAGTTATTACTTATAACCGATACAAAGCTAAATAAAAGTCGTCTTTGCTTGTTATTTTGACTTTAAATGTTATTAATAATGGCACCGTTATAACTAATGTATCTTTTATAATTTTTGTGTGGAGTGTCGTTAATCCTGAACTCTTGATATCTATATCCAGCGTGGGCACTTTTAACTTTTTACTACGGTGGTAGACGATTACACCCATAAAATGAAGACGACTTTTTTATTTAAGTTTTTTTTGTTTACAAGCTTTTTTTTAACTAAAAGTTTACATGAAAATAAAGAGAAGCTTTTTTAGTTGAGAGTTTCTCTTTGTTTCCATGTTTTTGTGTATCCGTGCTGTTAAAAAGCTTTAAATAAATTAAAATTGAAATCAAAAGTCGTTTTTATTATATTGATATGATCGCCTACTATTGTACAGTTCTTAATTCCATCATTTAGCTAAACTTTTAGTTTTAGTTTTAAACCAAGCCACGAACATTCCCGTAATTCCCAATTAAAATAATATCGTAAAATTCAAAACCATGTTTCAATTTTCAGTTTTGATAAAACCGAATTTTATTCGGTTTCATACTGATTATGACAGTATATACTATAAAGACTATTTGTACTATTCCTCTTTCCATGATTTAGACTTTGGTGTTCGAATTCCCGAATTGGTTGACGGTTACCGTTCACCTGTTCAATCTATACCTGGAGCACAAATACTTTTACCCAGATTTTCGGAGAAATCCCATGCAACTGTAGAAGTACAGGTACAGATTGTCTCAGTAAGTGTGGGAATTAATTTAATGAATTAAGTGATGCATGTGTACATGTGTTGTAAAAGTAAACCAAAGCCAACTGGTTTATTTTTATTTTGTTTGTTTTTTCATTATAATTTGGTAAACAGGGATGTATACAAGGAAACTTTGTATATATTTTTGTAGGTTGGGATGGATATAAGGATATTTAGCTAGGTTGGGATAAATATATGTAAGAATATATATCTAGGTTTAGATGGATATAAGGATTTATATCTAGGTTGGGATGGATGCGAAACTACACTGTTGGGTTGAAAATGTTTCTCAGAACGCAGTAACCTGGATCAGGAACCCTGGATAACCCTAGAGATATTAATTTATATTTTTATAAAAACTAGAATTAATTTTCAAAAAACAACTAAAAAGTTTTAAGCGTTTACATTACTAAGTTTTTCATGTCTTAATTGAACCTCCGGGTTTAATATTACAGAGATAGGAATTTCCAAGAAAGCTTTAGTTGGGATAAAAAAAAAAACAATTTTGATAATATTGATAAGTCGGCTATAAAAATCAATCTCATTTGTTTTCAAAAATGTCAATGTTCGCGAATCCATTTTCTAATGTGCCTCGGATAAATTTTTAACGTTTTTGAACAGTTTCAAAAATTCTCGTTCTTAAAAATCAAATGGAGGTCGAAATTCCCTGTTGTGTGTTTGTGTCATTCTGTCTATCTGTTTAATTTTTCTTTCTGTCTCTCTGTCTATTTGTCTATTTGTCTATCTGTCTATCTTTCTATCTGTCTATCTGTCTATCTGTCTATCTGTCTATCTGTCTATCCGTCTATCGGTCTATTTGTCTTTTTGTCTATCCGTCAATCTGTATATCTGTCTATATGTCTATTTGTCTGTCTATCTATCTATTTATATATTTACCTTTCTATCTTGTCTGTCTATCTATCTATCTATATATTTAACTATCTATATATCTATCTATCTATCTATCCTATATTGAGAGGATTAGTGAGTGCTGTCCAGTTGAATTATGACGGTTTAGTATGTTTGAAGTATAGAATAGTATATTATGACGTTAGGTACTTTCACAAAGGCAATTTTCCAGGGGCCAGTTTCCCAAGGTTATTTCCCCAAGTGGCAACTTCCCAAATGTGCAATTTCCCAAACAGCCAGTAGATTCTAGCCGCAGAGATCCCCCCCTCTCTCAACCTAGCCGCGGCGCCTCAAAAGGCCTAACCTAATGTGTACAGTTATATGTACATATCAGAAGTTTACGCTTTAGAAATTCAACATTTGGGAAGTTGCAACTTGGGAAAATACCTAACACCTATATGATTAGAGAGATGAACAAAATTAAATTACTATAAATAAATTTTCAAACTTTAATACTTTTAGATAATTCAGATTTTTCAATTTTAAGCAATAATGAATTAAAAAAAAATAAAAAATGAACTTTTACAAAATTAAATGGGGTGGTGTCCTTACTACTCTATATGGTTTGTTCTCTGTAGTGTTTTGTTCATGGAACATAAAAATATGAGGTGTCAAAATATGAATGTCAAATCATGACACGCATACCTAGCACACAATTAGACTTCTTCCCCCCTGTCATAGTTGACAACTTTAATATAGTTTTTAATTTACGCGGCATTTATTCATAAAACTTCATCATCTATTTTTACTTCACAATGATCCAAATATTGCAAGGTCTCACGCTAAAATGTATGAACATTTTGTTATTTACTTCTCTAAACCTACGCAATAACAGTTTTATATTTCTTTAAAAAAAACATGTCTAGAGGTACAAGAAAAGCTAGTAAAATCAAAGGAACAGGCGTTGCGACGCGGTCTTGAAAATTAATGCAGTTTTTCATAGAAGTCTGGATTTATGTAGCTTTGTCTGGTCTCTCGTATTTAGTTTATCTGAGTTCGAATTAAATGAATTTAAGTCGCGTCTCAAATCCGCCAAAAACCGGTTTCAATCGAGCACCGGCTTAACTCTTGAAACATTGAATACAATTTGATGTGGAACCAACCATATTTGAGCCGTGTCTCAAACTTAAGCCGCGGACAAAATTCTTTAAATTCGGCCTCTTGTTTGTGACGTTTAACAAATTCTAAATGTAAATTCATTATTTAGAAAGAAATAACTGCTGCTTGCATGCTGACATTTACTCTATTCAAATATTTGAATTCAATTCAATTTTTTTCAAAGTAGACGAGGCAGAGATCGGAGTAGAGAGAGTTGAAAATACATTTTATGTTAAAAGCAAATATCTAGATAATGAAAATGTACATCGAACTAGTTCGCTACTTACATGTAGTTTAGTTTAATAAAAACGATAAAGTTTCATAAAAGTTAATTTTCTCAATATTTCTTAACCCTAGACAGGCTGGGGGGGGGCGTTTGGTGCCAACCCCCCTTCTAGTTTTTTGCTATAGCACTCTTATTTTTTTACACTATCACCGTTAAATTGGTTGACTTTTAATAAAAAGAAATTTAAAGGAGTTTTTGTAAAAAATATTTTTTTATGCATAGGGTAGGGTACAGGACTGTCAAAAAATAGCCCATAACTTTTTTATCCAAAAAGCTACAGATCTAAACAATATAATTTTGAAAAGCCCTTGAAAAATTAATGTAGAAACATGTATCACACTTGATATTTGTTTTTGTTTTTAAAAATTTACGTTTTTTTGACCTGTTTTTTGGCATTTTTTTCAACCCTTCTTAGCACCTAAACTATAAAAGTTATCGAACTAATTTTCTTTTCAATGAGCTGTCCTAGAAAAATTTCAACCCTATACCTGTTCTCTAAGAACTTTTTCTCTAGGGGCCGGGTGCTCGGATGCCCCCCCCCCCCATCTATTCATAGATTCAGAACCCCCCAGCCTTTATAGGGTCAAACACTCTGATATTCGAATCCACTTATCTTTGCAACCCGATGTCGTAGATCTCTTCGGTATTTCATAATAGGATTTTTTTTAGATTAAATAATCTAAGTTTGCAATTTCAAACTTCAATTTCTTTCAGAGCTTTATTTTCTGTAGGTTTTATTCACTTAATGTAAACCAGTTGTAACTTGTTACACACAAAGCTTTCTGAGGTTTGCTTTAAAGGGAGCGTTCGCAAAAGAATAAGGGGGGTAAAGCCTAAACCAGAATTATAGCTGAAATAATATAAAAAAAATATTTGTTAATTTGAGCAGAGAGAATCGAGTGAAATCCCGTATTTTCTCCAAATTCCTCGAAATTCTAGAGGGAGGCATGCAAATCAATCTTTCTTTCATTTTTTTCCGAAAAAAAAAATAAATAAGTTCTCATTTTTGTATTATATTTTTAAAGAACTAGACAAATCTAACTATTAATTCCGAAAAACTGACATTTTAATTATCTCTGTAAACATTTTGAATAACATTTTGAAAATGAATGCATAGAAGAGATATTACAATTAATATCAATTGTTTATTAAGCTATTATTTTTTTTCTATTTTTCAATTTTTGCTTATAATCTAAAGGAACTGTGATAGAATTTATTTCAACATTGACATCAAGGCACGCGGATTTAGCAGTGATCAGACCTATTAAACGTAACCTTTCCGTTTTCTTGCTTTTTTATCTTTTTGTTGCCAGATGCGTTGTAATTTTTAAAGAAATAAAGACGCAGAATTTGTCAATTCTAAATCTAAATGAAATATTTTGTTATTAATTAATTGGCATAAAGTGTTTTCTGCAATATTTATTCGAAAAATCTGATTTGTCAAATTCTTATATAATTTTATAAAACAAATCTTTCATTTGAATTTGAATAACAAGTCCTTTAAGCCTTGAGTTATCCTAGGTGCTAAATAATCATGAACAATTATGAGATAGTATGAGATATGAGACAGCAAAATGTCCATTTTCTAGCAAATTCCAAAGTGTTGAAGCTGGGAAGCCCATTAAGAAGTTTAAACTGGCCGAACTGTAAACTTTGTTTTATTTTTCCAACTGAGATTCAAGGATACAATTCTCACAAGAGAAAATAGAAACCAAGTTTAGCATAGAGGGCCCACAGCATGCAACAGATTTGCTTAAAGGGAGTGTAAACATAATTTCCAATATTTATTTCCTGACATAAAGAATATGGATATTGGATATTTCCTATATAAAGAATATATGGATATTGGATATTTCCTGACATAAAGAATATGAATATTGGATATTTCCTGACATAAAGAATATGGATATTGGATATTTCTTACATATAGAATATGGATACTGGATATTTCCTACATAAAGAATATATAGATATTGAATATCTCCTACATAAAGAATATGGATATTGGATATTTCCTACTTAAAAAATATGGATATTGGATATTTCCTACATGAAGAATATATGGATATTGGATATCTCCTTATGGATATTGGATATTTCCTGCATAAAGAATATGGATATTTCCTACATAAAGAATATATGGATATTGGACATTTCCTAAAATAAAGAATATGGATATAGTATATTTCCTAACATAAAGAATATAGATATTGGATATTTCCTACATAAAGAATATGTGGATATTGGATATTTCCTGACAAAAAGAATATGGATATTGGATATTTCCTGAAATAAAGAATATATGCATGGATATTGGATCTTTCCCGACATAAAGAATGTATTGATATTGGATATTTCCTGGCAAAAATAATATATGGATATTAGATATTTCCTGACATAAAGAATATATGGATATTGGATATTTCCTGACATCAAGAATATAGATATTGGATATTTCCTGACATGAAGAATATGGATATTGGATATTTCCTACATAAAGAATATGTGGATATTGGATATTTCCTGACAAAAAAAATATGAATATTGGATATTTCCTAAAATAAAGAATATATGCATGGATATTGGATATTTCCTGACATAAAGAATGTATGGATATTGGATATTTCCTGACATAAATAACATGGATATTGGATATTTCCTGGCATAAAGAATATATGGATATTAGATATTTCCTGACATAAAGATTATATGGATATTAGATATTTCCTGACAAAAAGAATATATGGATATTAGATATTTCCTGACATAAAGAATATGGATATATCCGTCTGCAATGGTCCGAAAAAAGTTCGAAGGATACAGTTGTGAATCGGACATGTCCTTTTAAATCGGGAATGCCATCCTGTCACGAGGAGTCACCTGAAACTAAGTCTACAGTCCCTTTAATTATCCTCCTCAACATTCAAACTCAAAACTCTCCAAAAAAATAATTGTCATGCCTCCCCCCCCCCGCTCCGTCAATACATCTTAATACCCCCCCCCCCCCTCCTCCCTCCCTCCCTCCCTCCTACTTCTCTCATTATTTCTCTAATTTACAATTACTAATTACGAAGTAATTAATCCTAATAAATTCATTAATCCATTAGTCCTAACCTAAAAAGTAAGACAAAATGAAGATAAACTATTCAGATAAGGAAAAATAGATGTTAATGATTATTTACAGGAAACTTAAATAAAATCATTTGACATGGATCCAAACTTTTTATGATCCGAACCGGTTCAAGGATTCGCCGGTATAGTGTAATTGTATTACATTACACATTCACTCGTACAAACCAGTCTAGACTACCCAATGTAAAGTTGGCCCAGCATGTGTTAGGCACCTAGGCAACAAATGTAGGCAGGCAAGATCTATGTGAATGCTTATCTCACATTTTACATCCGATAAGATTTTCTCCGTCTTATGTTATCCAATGTCAAATAATTATTGACAAACATTCGTATCTTTGATAACTTAACAATAACATTACTTTGTCTGGATAAGTTATTTGTGTGTGTGTGAATTTTCACTATGTACATTGTACATACACAAATTAAATATTTAGCATAATAACATTGTTTTTAACCCCCCAATGCAAAATATTTGCACTATGTATACGCACAAATTAGATATTTAGCATAATAACATTGTATTTAACCCCCAATACAAAATATTTGCACTATATGTACTTACACAAATTAAATATTTAGCATAATAACATTGTTTTAACCCCCAATGCAAAATATTTGCACTATGTACATACACAAATTAAATATTTAGCTTAATAACGTTGTTTTTAACCCCCCAATGCAAAATATTTGGTTTCAATTTTTTTTTATTTTATTCTCTCTCTCCCAAGGTATAGAAAGAAACAGTATCATGATTAACTGATATTTTGAGAGAACAAATTTCATTTTTTAGAAACTACTATAAACACGTCACTAACGCACTAACCCTTCTATTAATCATAGAAATAAAATAAAATATATTAGAAAGGGGTTTAGCTAGCTCTAGCCTGTTACCAAACTCTAGAAACAGGTTGATTTTATTCTATTATGCAAAAATGCAAAAAGTATTTTATGACTTAAAACCTCAAATTATCAATGTATCTAATTGCGAAGAAAAAAAGTATGCATCTATCTTAACGTACACTGTACTATTTTTTGGGAGTCATGATTGTGGGTTTGCTAAATACCAAGCTTTACTCCAAGCATGGACTGTGATAAGTTAGACAGCTTTACTCCGGATATGGGTTGATACTGAGATAGGTTAGAAAGCTTTACTCCGGATATGGGATGATACTGAGATAGGTTAGAAAGCTTTACTCCGAACATGGGTTGATACTGAGATAAGTTAGAAAGCTTTACTCCGGATATGGGTTGATACTGAGATAAGTTAGAAAGCTTTACTCCGGATATGGGTTGATACTTAGATAGATTAGAAAGCTTTACTCCGGATATGGGTTGATACTAAGATAGGTTAAAAAGCTTTACTCCGGATATGGGTTGATACTGAGATAGGCTAGAAAGCTTTACTCCGGATATGGGTTTATACTAAGAAAGGTTAGAAAGCTTTACTCCGGATATGGGTGTATACTGAAATAGGTTAGTCATCTTACTCCAGGTATGGGTTTATACTGAGGTTCGTTAGACAGAACGATCTACAGATCCTGTCTGCTGGGAGTCTCAAGTTCTCTGCAGATCCTAGAATTCAGATCAAGCATGACTCCAGGTACATCTGAAAAGTAAATATAGTTTTAAGTTCTTTTTTTACTGTGCAATCCATGATTTTCTTTTTTAAATATTAATTTTCTCAAATTATCGATGATAAATATGCTTATTTTTCGTATAAAAAAATACCTTCTGGCCGAGGGTTTTATGGGAAGGGATTTTAAATCCGTTAAAACCTTACTAATGATTTTCAGATTAAGGTTTCTGAATTCTTTAGATGGTTTGACAATTAAAAAAAACCAATATTTTTAGCTTTAACGTATTGCTTACATAATTTGTAGTTTGATGTTTTTAAACTCATAAAACTGTGGAAAATGAAGACGACTCAAGTTATGATATTAAATAGTCCAATAAACATGAAACACAAAAGCTGTTCAGTGTGTATACATGCAAAAACTCATTGCACTTAAAAAGTTTAATTTCAGGCTACTTTCTAACTATTTGCATAATAACAGCATCAAATACACGTACATGAGACTGCTTAGATATTCTTTTTATTCTACTGTGTTTTGGGTCATACTGTATGACAAAATTAAATTTTAAAATTCTCACTGTCAAATGAAATCGGAAAAAATGACCTTAAGATTAATTTTGTCCTTGCAGTTTTCAATAAAACTATTTTCCTAATCCTCAAGAAATGCATTTATTATCTTCGCACAGGAAACTAATTTTAGTTGTTTTGTCATTTATTGTTGAAATAACAATCATTATATAACGCAATTTATTTGTTTACTTTAAGCTTTATATCCCGCCAGGGGAGTATTTTATATCTTATACTCAGTGTTTTGTATCCTGTATCCTTTATGCTTAATCCCATATTCTTTATTCCATATCCTGTATCCTGTGTCCTGAGTTCTGTATCATGTGTATTTTTTCTTGTAAACTATATCATGTATCTTTTATCCTTTATAGTTTATCCTATATCTTATATCCTGTGTCCTGTATCTTGTATTCTGTATCAATCCTATATCTTGTGTACTGTAGCCTGTATCTTTATCATACATCCTATATCATATTCATGTGTCCTGTACCTTGTATCCTGTATCCAAAATTATGTGTACTGTATCATGTGTTCTGCATTCTATATTCTTTATCCTGTATCATATTTCATGTGTTCTGTATCTTGTATCCTATATATTGTCTCTTGTTTTTTGTATCCAGTGTTTCGTCTTGTATCATGCTGTATCCTGTATCCTGTATCGTGTTTATCTAGTGTGTTGAACAGTGATGATTATATCCTGGAGATATCCCGGGTTGGAAGACAAGATCAAGGATTGTATGAATGTCAGATAAACATGAGACCTCTTAAAGCATTCATTGTCAAACTAATCGTAAAAGGTCAGATTTAGATTTGTCCTCAACTTTCTTGTTAAAAACAACGATTTTACGAGTCATCAAATTAAAACGAAATTTAGACTTTTTTTAAGCAATCATCTATTTGTCTGTTCCACAATTTTTTTAAACTTTGCTTGTCTAAAACATAAAAAAACAATCTTCATAAATTATAGATCAAAAATATATATCTAATCTAATCTAATTTAATCTAATCCGTCTCAGAATTTTAATTTACAATTGGTCACTGAGACTTCAATTATGTCATGACACTCAAACTATTTGAAATAATTAAATAAAACATGTTATACATACACAATTCTGTAAAGGACTTGAGTCTTTGTTACAAACTCAAATTTTCTAATTCTTAGCAATTTGATGATGCAAAACTTTGATATCTCAAACTTAGATTATTTGATCTACCAGAATTCATATTTTGAAATATCTAAGGTCTACGGCATTGGGTTGCAAAGATATAGGAATTAGAAAATGTGAGTTTGGGGCAAAGACTCAAATCCTTTATATTCTCTTTGGATTATCTTGTAAATATTCAAACATACCCAGAGCCAGATTCTTGTTTGAATAAACTCCATCCTAATGGGAGAGAGGTCTACTGCTTGGCCGCTCCTATTAGCTTCTAATTGTATAAATAAATAAACAGTCGGAGACCTTTGGGCTCACAAGAATCAATATTTCGTTTTTAGGAAGCAGATGTTGTTTCTTTATTTTTAATGTTTAGACATTCCTCCTTCAACTGAAGTTGAGAGCACCCAACCTTCACCTATTCTGCCAGGTTTAGAGGTTCAGGATACAGGTATACCAGGTTTACAGGTTCAGGATACAGGTATGACAGGTTTACAGGTTCAGGATACAGGTATATCAGGTTTACAGGTTTAGGATACAGGTATACCAAGTTTACACGTTCATTATACAGGTAAACCAGGTTTAGGGGTTTAGGATACAGGTATACCTGGTTTAGAGGTTCAGGATACAGATATTCCAGGTTTACAGGCTCAGGATGCAGACATACAAGGTTAAGAGGTTCATGTTGCAGGTATACAAGGTTTACAGGTTTAGGATACAGGTATTCCAAGTTTACAGGTTCAGAATACACGTATACCAGGTTTACAGGTTTAGGATACAGGTATACCAGGTTCACAGGTTTAGGATACAGGTATACCAGGTTCACAAGGTTAGGAAACAGGTATAACAGGTTTACAGGTTCGGTATACAGGGATACCAGGTGTACAGGTTTAGAATACAGGTTGCAGGTTTAGAGGTTCAAAATGTTTTAATAAATAAGGTATTAAAGAAACAATGAAAAGATAAAAACATGTTTTTTTAAATTTAATTTTTAGATTAAAAGCAAAGCTCACCTATATCCCTAATAATGTTAATATGATTACATCCAGTGAGAACCTCGGGGTTTGTCATCTCTTTCATGTTTGTTTAATCTTAGAATTCCTTCCGTCACCCAGAAGATAAACAAATTAACTTTCAAAATATTCTACTTACTCACAAACTGAACCTAGAATAAAAATAGTTTAAACTTTTGAATTTTATCGAACTAGACTTTTTAATGTATATGTTTTTCCTTTTATACTTTTTCAATGGACCCTCTATTTATAGAGGGGCATTTTTCACGTCACATTTTCCCTTTAAATCTTGCTCTGATCATTGACAACGGAGAAATCCTTTTATTTTTCGATCATCAGTGAGTGAACGTTGTGAACTCCAAACGATACCATTACATTTTTCTAAACTAGAATAATTAGAACTCTGAAGATTTGTGTCAAGGATGGTTTTTAAAGATTTTGATGAAATGGAGGGTCAAGTGAAATTAAACGCCAACAGTCCCTTTAATAAAGAATTGTAGTAAAGAAACATTTAAACCCCGAAATAAATAAATAAATAAATCGTAAATTTGAACTGTTTGAGGTCTAAACTTGATGTTCTGTTCTGAAAGGTATTCGTCATTTGTAAAACATATTTACGAAGTTCTATTACATTTTTTAAATTTTTCTATAACTTTCAATAAATGACCACTGAACCAGGTTCCAGTACAAGCATCCTGGGAGCTCCGGATATATATTTCCATCCTGGAACCCTGGTCAACCTAACCTGTCTAGTCTCATCTTCTACAGATCCAGGACGGATATTCTGGTATCATGAGGTTAGTTTTCGGTAAGAGGAACAAGAGGAGTAGGATATGAGCAGTAGGATTAGGTTAGGAACAAGAGGAGTAGGTTAGGAACAGGAAGATTAGGTAAGGAACAGGAGGAACAGAGTAGGAACCGAAGATTTAGGTTAGGAACAGAAGGAGTATGTTACGAACAGGAGGAGTATGTTGAGAACAGGAGGAGTAGGTTGGGAACAAAAGGATTAGGTTAGGAACAGGAGGAGGTTAGGAACAGGAGGAGTAGATTACGAACAGGAAGAGTAGGTTACGAACAGGAAGAGTATGCTAGGAACAGAAGGATTAGGTTAGGAATAGGAGGAGTTAGATTAGAAACAGAAGGAGTAGTTTAGAAACAGGAGGAGTAGGTTAGGAACAGGAGAAGTATGTTAAGAACAGAAGGAGTAGGTTAGGAACAGTAGGAGTTAGGTTAGGAACAGAAGGATTACGTTAGGAGCAGGAGGAGTAAGTTATGAACAGAAGGATTAGGTTAGGAATATGAGGAATAGGACAGGAACAGAAGAACTAGGTTAGGAACTTGAGAAGCAGGTTAGGAAAAGGAGAAGTATTTGCAAAAGGAATGAGGAAGGATTATAAGTATTATTTTTTTCAGGATAAAGTTATCAGTTATTATTCAAGTAGACTTGGTGTTAGTATTTACAGGAATAAACAGGTAGGGTTCAATTCACCTACAATATAGGTAGGTTCAATTCATCTACAATATAGGTAGGTACAATTCACCTTCAATATAGGTAGGTTCTAGTCATCTACAATATAGGTAGGTACAATTCACCTACAATATAGGTAGGTTAAAGTCATCTACAATATAGGTAGGTACAATTCACCTACAATATATGTTGGATCAAGTCATCTACAATATATGTATGTTAAAGTCATCTACAATATATGTAGGATCAAGATATCTACAATATATATAGGTTCAAGTCATCTACAATATATGTAGGATCAAGATATCTACAATATATGTAGGATCAAGATATCTACAATATATGTAGGATCAAGATATCTACAATATATGTAGGATCAAGATATCTACAATATATGTAGGATCAAGATATCTACAATATATGTAGGTTCGAGTAATCTACAATATATTGTAGGATCAAGATATCTACAATATATGTAGGATCAAGATATCTACAAGATATGTAGGATCAAGATATCAACAATATATGTAGGATCAAGATATCTACAAGATATGTGGGATTAGGATATCTACAAGATATGTAGGATCAAGATATCTACAATATATGTAAGATCAAGATATCTACAGTATATGTTGGATCAAGATATCTACAGTATATATAAGATCAAGATATCTACAATTTACGTAGGATCAAGATATCTATAGTATATAGAACATTAAGATATCTACAGTATATATAAGATCAAGATATCTACAATACATGTAGGATAAAGATATCTACAGTATATATAAGATCAAGATATCTACAATATATGTAGGATCAAGATATCTACAGTATATGTAAGTTCAAGATATCTACAAGATATGTAGGATCAAGATATCTACAATATATGTAGGATCAGGATATCTACAATATATGTAGGATCAAAATATCTACAAGATATGTAGGATCAAGATATCTACAAGATATGTAGAATCAAGATATCTACAAGATATGTAGGATCAAAATATCTATAATATGTGTAGGATCAAGATATCTACGGTATATATGAGACCAAGACATCTACAATATATAGGTTAAAGTTATCTATTATAAATGTAGTATTAAGATATCTAGATTAAGATCTGCAAGTTGTGTAGATTAAAGTAATCTATAAATATATGTAAAAAAGATTCAATTTATTACATCAAGCATATTTAGATTTAATTCCAATATGTACATTCATTCCTGCTTAATACAAAGGAATTGATTCTTTGCCACAAACTTAAATTGTCTAATCCCTAGCTCGTTGTAACCTAATGGTGAACATCTTAAATATTTCAAATTTAGATTATTTGTACTTACATAGATCATAGTTTGAAATATCTAAGGTATACAGCATTTGGTTGCAAAGATATTGGGATTAGAAAATCAGAGTTTGTGGCAAAGAATCAATTCCTTTAATTTTTACCTCCTTCAAATGTCTTTTCACAATTTTCATTGCATTCAGCTCCAAGTTTTAAGACTTGGATAAACTTTTCAATGCAACCTCTTTAAAAAAGTTCATTTGTAGCAATATATGTAATTGAGAAGAAAAGTTTAAAACACTTGCCATCTACATATTTTCTTGAAAATTGGAAACACACTTGAAACTTTAATTTTCTTTTGCATAAAATTACATTTTCTTTACGCACACTTAAACCAGTTATTTTTCAGCAAAGTTTCAAGTCTATTATCTACTATTTAGACTAGTATGCTAACAGTATCAAGTCTATTATCTACTATTTAGACCAGTATGCTAACAGTATCAAGTCTATTATTACGGGAAGGAAGAAAAGAAGACGAAGGAACGTATATATGCAGGTAATATACTCACTCATGTTTCGAGTATTTTTTGTTTGTTAAGAATGGTTTGGGTTTGTTAAGAATGGTTTGGGTTTGTTAAGAATGGTTTGGATTTGTTAAGAATGGTTTGGAATTGTTAAGAAAGGTTTGGGTTTGTTCAGAAGGGTTTGTTTTTGTTAAGAACGGTTTGGTTTTGTTGAGAATGGTTTGGGTTTGTTAAGAATGGTTTGGATTTGTTAAGAATGGTTTGGGTTTGTTAATAATGGTTTGGGTTTGTTAAGAATGGTTTGTTTTTGTTAAGAACGGTTTGGTTTTGTTAAGAATGATTTTATTTTGCCAAGAATGTTTTTTTTTGTTTATAATGGTTTGGTTTTATCAAGAACTGTTTAATTAAAAGTGTTTGGTTTCTTAAAATTGTATGGTTTTAATGACAATTGTTTTAGTTTTGGACAATTGTTTGGTTTAGTGATAAATGTTTGGTTTTCTGACAATTGCTTGGTTTTATTGAGAATTGTTTGGTTTTGCAGTCATAGTTTGGTTTGGTGACAATTGTTTAGTTAGTAATGATAGTTTGCTTTAATGAGGCTTGTTTGGTTTGATGGAGATTGTTTAGTTTTGTGACGATAGTTTGGTTTTGTGACGATAGTTTGGTTTTGTGACAAATATTTTATTTAAAGATTGTTTGGTTTTGTTCCCAAAGGATTGGTTTGTGAAAGTTAATAGATTAATATATTATATAGGCCGGAGAAAGCATTCATGAAATCTGGAAAAGCAAGATTATTTATTGTTGACGGTAATACATTTATTTCATTTATTATAAACATCATCAATACAGAGATACATTTATTTAGCATTTAGTTTATTATGGGGATCTAAAAAATGCAATTTTTGAAGTTTAGAAAGAATTAATTTGTAATCTTTAAGTTTGACTTATATGGGCTGACTTTTAAGTGTCAAAGCGCCATGTAACCAATTCAAAACGTCTTCTAATTTAAATTATGTAAAAAATGTAATTTTCATTTTAAGTGTTTGTTTTAACTTTTGTGGAATTATAAGAAAGAAAATAAATTTAGATATCAATTTATTTTGTTTAAACGCGCGTGGGATATATTTTAAAATGCTCAAACGTTAAACATTACTAGAATCTCCCAAGAATAGGCTTGTTCATTGGGTGTACTGGTCCCGGTTTGCCTGATTATAGTCCGTATATGTACTGTACTGTTTGCTCTCCCAGCTTAAAAGTCGGCCCGGTACTTGAAGTGAACCAGTGAGGAAAAAGATAATTTTTTTTTTTTGTAAAAATAGGTATTTATATTATATTTTACAAATCATAAAAAATAACAAGAACTTTCTGGGTCAATGTTTTGTAATAAGAAATAAGAACTGGTGAAAGGGGTTTCTTCCACTGAAAGCGTTAAATAAAATGCATACTTATAGTTCATAAAGTATAAATTAGTTCAAAAATTACATTTATTGAAAAATACTAACAGCTTTTTGGTATCTTGTTTCTTTTAATGGTAAAGTAAAATAGATGAAATGTTTTTAAAGGGGGTTAAATTAAAACAGATCATGAAGCAAAATATCTTTTTATGAACAGCCTGGTGGTGTTAAAAACATAAACACATGTTTTGCCGGGATTTGTACTTGTTCCTCTTGTTTAAGATTCAAATTCCCAAACGAAGTCGGAATATAAATATCTTGAATTTAAACCCAAATTAAGTCCGAATGAGTAAAAAATACCGTCCAAAAATGCGGAAAATAATAATGAGAGAGAAAAGAATTTGCAACAAAATAAATCAGAAACCTTTCATCCCATTGGGACATTTCATAAAAAAATATATTTAATAGATAGGACAGTACATAGAAAAACATTTCATTGACGGACATTCATAGATAGGACTTTCATAGATAGTAAGTTTCATAGATAGGACATTTCATAGATAGGACATTTCATAGACAGAGGAAAAATTAAATGTCCTGTATATGAAATGTCCTATCTATGAAATTTCCTATCTATGATATGTCCTATCTATGATATGTCCTATCTATAAAATGTCCTATCTATGAATTGTTCCATCTATAAAATGTCCTATATATCTATGATATGTCTTATCTATGATATGTCCTATGTATAAAATGTCCTATCTATGAAATGTCCTATCTATGATATTCGAATCTATGAAAGGACTTTCTATGAAATGTCTTATCTATGAAATGTTCCATCTATAAAATGTCCTATCNGCGATTCCTCCGCCTCGAGGAAGACCAAGACTGAAACCCAAGTCCTTGCCTTCAGTTCCTCCGCCTTCTTCCGCCACCAAGTTACCCAAGAAGGTCAGGTTCAAGCTAGTTCCCCAAGTTCTTCCGCCATCTATTCCTGTTCGTCGGAACCCTCACAGGTCTTCCAGAGGTAGAAGGATCTGCTCCGCCATACCTCCGCCGTTCCTTCTGGGGGGACTCCTGTGGCGGCTATGAAAGTCGTCTTTCATTTGAAGAACTTCTCGCGGCAAGGATGAAGGAAGTGGGAGTTTGCTAATAGCCACGATATATATTTATTTATTTTAACTTTGTAACTTTAAAATCAAATATAGTGAGTCGTAAGTAAATACTCGTATTATTGCTATGTCCTATATATGATATGTCCTATGTATAAAATGTCCTATCTATGAAATGTCCTGTCTATGATATTCGAATCTATGAAAGGACTTTCTATGAAATGTCCCAATGGCGTAAAATTAGGAGTAAATGTGTGAGATAACAATTCACAATTCACATTTCTCTCAAAATATTGAATAAATTATATTGAACCCTTCTAATAATTATTATTGTACGAAATATTTGTCAAATTCGTGTGTTACCTTTTATTCTAATTTTACATTTTTACTAAAAAACATCAAATGCGTAGGACAGGAAAATGTGAATTGAATAAAGTTTGTTGATGCACCCCCTGCTTTCTTTACAACAATTTTTTATATCTAATAAACTCCGGTATTTCAAGGAATGCATCCTTCTATAAAAATGTGTCTGGCATCTTCTCGCAACACTTTTTATTTTGATATTTAAAGAAGAAACTGATTACTCGCCGCAAACTCTGATTTATGATCTCATTATTTTTTCAAATGAATTGTACCTTTGCTATTTCTATAGTTTGGAATATTAAAGGTTTACAACGTCAGGTGAATACACACCGCGCCGTAGAGGTTTGAATCCTGAATCACCAATTCAAAGTTAGAGATTGATGAATCGGTGATTCAGGATTTGAACCGGCGTTAGGTAGTTCAACGACATCGTCAATTTATTAAATTAATTAGTTAAAGATTACTATTGTTTTTAGGAACAAGATCCGAAGCAAGGAAAACTAGTGGAGCAAACCCAATCTCTCTTTTTTATATTCTTCTTCTATTCTCTCTTTCATCAATATTTATACCCTAGTTCTTATTGATCTCTCTTTCATTCCTTCGCAAGTTGAGGGGAAAACGTTTAAATCCTTAATCTGTGGCGTCAGCGCGAGTTCAATTTTGTTATCCTCTCTGCTGTGGTTTAAACTAAAACGCTAAAATACCTCTAATGGCAGATAAACTTTCCATTTAGATATAATTTTCAAATTTCGTTAAATTGTTAGATAAGATTTGTTTGTCCCCGCCCCCCCCTCTCTTTAATTATCTCTTAGAAACTTCAATGATGACGGCTTTTTCCCAAAAGGAGTAAATATGTTAATTTGTCTGAATATATTTAAATTTTTAAACATTAGAATTTGAATTTATCTCGTGCTCTATGCTGTGTATAGTATTTAATTACTTGTATGTATTAGGATGTACGCAAGATGCAATATTTTAGATTAAATAAATAAACTAGACACCTGGCAGGAATTGACTATTTGAATTTTAGTTTCCAAGTTAAACTAAGAGCTTAATTCTTAGGAATACTTTTGAAAATATTTTAATACTTTATAATTTACAGATTCTTTGTAAATCAACACTTTTCCCTCTATAATATAAACTCCTTAATTCTATATTATACTTTCTACACTATACACTCTACACTTTACATTCTGCATTCTGTACTCTATATTCTACACTACACTCTATAATTCTACAATCTAGTCTACACTCTACGGCCTTAGTTCTAAATTTTTATTTTCTTCATTATACAGGGTGTCCCAATAAACATGGGAATTCAGTGACGAATTACATATCGTCTTTTTAAATAATTCTTTGATTTAGTATAGTGATACCTACTGAGAAAGCTGTAATCTGTAAGAGTTTCGTCTGCTATGGTTCACATTTGTTTGTTTATGTTTTGACTGCATACGGTTGTACTTAGTAAAACAAGAAAATTGCAGTATTCAAAAAGAGTAAACTTGTCCGTCATCACTGATCATCTTGCGGAGACATTATAGACACATCTTTACAGTGTTTTACCCTTTTCATATAATAAACTCTAGCAGACATAACATTATTATAGGTTTTGAAATTAGGTATTACAATGCTAATTCATAACAAAGATATCAAATTCGTCTCTGAATTCCCATGTTTTTTAGGACACCCTGTACAGTACACTCTAGACTTGACATTATACATTCTGTACTCTATATTCTACACTACACTCTATAATTCTACAGTCTAGTCTATACTCTACGGCCTTAGTTCTGTATTTTATTTTCTACATTATACACTCTACAGTCTACACTTCACATTCTACACTCTGTACTCTATATTCTACACTACACTCTATAGTTCTACAATCTAGCCTATACTCTCCGGACTTTATTCTAAATTTTACTTTCAGATTATACCCTCTATACTTCACTGTCCTCTACAGTCTATACTCTATACAATTTACGTTCTTGGTCTATGATATATGTACAGCTTATACATTCTACACGCTACACTTCACATACTACACTCTGTCCTCTACAGTCTATACTCTATACAATTTACGTTCTTGGTCTATGATATATGTACAGTATACAATCTACACGCTACACTCTACACTCTATGGTCTTGTGTCTCTGATATACATTATACACAACACTCTACACGTTACATTATACTTACATATGCTACACTCTACTAACTACATGCTACACTCTACACACTACATGTTACACTCTACACTACATCTTACACTCTATACTATATGCTACACTCAACACTATTTGCTACAATCTACACTCTACACTACATGCTACACTCTACACTATATGCTACACTCTACACTACATTCTGCACTCTACACTACATGCTACACTTTACACTACATATGCTACACTCTACACTACATGCTCTACTCTACACTACATGCTACACTTTACACTACATGTTACACTCTACACTACATGCTACACTCTACACTACATGTTACACTCTACACTACATGCTACACACTACACTACATGTTACACTCTACACTACATGCTACACACTACACTACATTATAAACTTTTCCCATGCACTCTGTACTACTACTATATAACTCTGCACTCTACAGTCTACACTATACACTGAAAAGTTAATGTTTGCGGCCGAGAATCTTGAATATTAGTCAAATATATGTTCGTCCTTTTAAAGCAATAAACAAAAACCTGAGAGTAGAAAATGGACAATAGTCCTTAAGTATTTCTTTCATCTGTGCAGGTTTGTCAACTTTTTTAACCCGCTAGCTTTTAGTGCTTCGCCATGCTTTACCACCGAGATGTTTTCGTACATTCAAACCTCAAGATTTTTCTTAAATTGGCACGTTATGACTCCATATATTTGAGCTATATTATGATTTATCTTGATTAATAATCTGTTATTTATCTGGTTTTATAATTTGCATTTATCTAAGTTAATTCATTCTGTTATTTATCTGGGTTGATTATTGTTATTCAGCTTGGTTAATAATCTATCATTTTTTTGGTTTAAACTATTATTATTTAGCTGGGTAAAAAATTTGTTATTTATCTGTGTGAATAGACTATTATTTATATGAGTAATTTAGCTGTGTTAAAAATCTATTATTTAGCTGGGTTAATAATCTATTATTTGTTGGGTTAATAATCTATTATTTAGTTGTGTTAATAATCTATTATTTAGCTGGGTTAATAATCTATTATTTGTTGGGTTAATAATCTATTATTTAGCTGGGTTAATAATCTATTATTTAGCTGGGTTAATAATCTATTATTTAGCTGGGTTAATAATCTATTATTTAGCTGGGTTAATAATCTATTATTTAGCTGTGTTAAAAATCTATTATTTAGCTGGGTTAATAATCTATTATTTGTTGGGTTAATAATCTATTATTTAGCTGGGTTAATAATCTATTATTTAGCTGGGTTAATAATCTATTATTTAGCTGGGTTAATAATCTATTATTTAGCTGGGTTAATAATCTATTATTTAGCTGGGTTAATAATCTAATATTTAGCTGGGTTAATAATCTAATATTTAGCTGGGTTAATAATCTATTATCTAGCTGGGTTAATAATCTGTTATTTAGCTGGGTTAATAATCTATTATTTAGCTGGGTTAATAATCTATTATTTAGCTGGGTTAATAATCTATTATTTAGCTGGGTTACCAATCATCCATAAAAATCGTCTAGACATCCTGTAATGGTAAAACAACATTAACAGAAAGGAAAAAACCTAGTAATAGTAAATTATCCAGAAGATAATTTTAAGACACATTTATAGAAACCTTTAGAAAAAATGTCTGTTTTTGTTTGTTTTTTGCCTCGTAGCTTTGAAGTAATTATGTGTTGACCCATTTTTTTTAAATCAGAGTACAATAATATGCTGTCAGAGTACTGTCAATGTACTGTTTTCAATAATATGCTGTTAGAGCACTGTCAATGTACTGTCAATATACTGGCTTTGTTTATTCATACGGACACAGTACACACAAATAATGGAAAGTGTAAACATCTAAACATGTCCCCCCCCCCCGATCTTCTGTCTAAAGAACCTTAAACGCCCCTGAAAATGAAGTATGTGATTAAAGTTGGGTGAAAGGAATAAAGTAAGGCATGTAAATGTCGAAAACTCATTTTCTTCAATTCTTACGAGATGCATTTCGAATAATTGAGGCAGAAGCTCAAAGGAGTTACGCTCATGTTGCGTTGAATGACAAGAGAGAGAGAGTGCATGCGCTTAACTCCTTTGGGCTTCTGCCTCAGAGTTATTGTGAACGAAAAACCCCTAAATCTTGAAAAGACGACATCTAGTGTTTCATCTTTGTTATTTATTTATGAAAGTATAGTTTGCTATTTTCAAATAGTACAAAATATTACTTACTGTACACAAAGATAGAGAAAGCAAAAACATAAACACAAGCCAACATTATTTATTGCTTCCTTCAGTTATTTTAAAATTGGGAACAAAAGGAGAAAACTTGTTCTGTGAAAGCGCAAGAACATTGTTAAATATTTTAAAAACAATAAAATTTAATTTTTAATTTAAATACTTTAATATTTAACGATAGCTTCACAAGAATCGTGAGTAGTTTAAAGTAAATCGCGTGTAGGATTGATATATTAAATTTTTTCAGTCATGAACTCCATTTATTAAAGAGGTATTAAGAAGAACAATGTTGTTGAATCTCTAATATTCAATGAAATAAATTGTCTTTCCTCATACCTGAGCAAAAATTCAAGGCTAAAGAAGCTGCGAGGTCGCACAGTCCCACCAGTGATGTCGCACGAATTCTACCTTCTCTTTCTGTACGTATATATGATGTACAGTACTGTCTAGTTAACAATGAGCCAGTACGTATATATGCTGTACAGTACTGTCTAGTTAACAATGAGCCAGTACGTATATATGCTGTACAGTACTGTCTAGTTAACAATGCGTCAGCACGTATATATGCTGTACAGTACTGTCTAGTTAACAATGAGCCAGTACGTATATATGCTGTACAGTACTGTCTAGTTAACAATGAGTCAGTACGTATATATGCTGTACAGTACTGTCTAGTTAACATTGAGCCAGTACGTATATATGCTGTACAGTACTGTCTAGTTAACAATGAGCCAGTACGTATATATGCTGTACAGTACTGTCTAGTTAACAATGAGCCAGTACGTATATATGCTGTACAGTACTGTCTAGTTAACATTGAGCCAGTACGTATATATGTTGTACTGTACTGTCTAGTTAACAATGAGCCAGTACGTATATATGCTGTACAGTACTGTCTAGTTAACAATGAGTCAGTACGTATATATGCTGTACAGTACTGTCTAGTTAACATTGAGCCAGTACGTATATATGTTGTACTGTACTGTCTAGTTAACAATGAGCCAGTACGTATATATGCAGTACAGTACTGTCTAGTTAACAATGAGCCAGTACGTATATATGCAGTACAGTATATCGATATTGGTTAGGATATTATAAAGTACCAGCTTACTACCGTAATAACCATTAACCATGCACCCTTTATATGGTTTATACAACACCTGTTTACTTGAATAATTTTATCCTATTTAAACAAACTGAAATTATGATTAAAGAATTGAATGAATTTAAACTGCTTACATAGTCTCATATATTAGTCTGTGTAGTGTTTAAATCAGCAAACTATTTAAGGAATTTTACATAATATTCCAAAAATATTTTTCAATTCAAATATTTAGAATTGTTGACATTTTTCAATAAGAGAAAGAGAGAGAGAGTCTGGAGAAAGAGATTAAAGGACTGTGGATGTAATTTTAAGTGACTGGCCATTTTAAGAGGGTCAAGTCCAATTTACAACGATACCCTTGAAATCTACATTCAATTTTCTGCTTCCGTATTGCGCAAGCCACCTTCTAGACAAAATCAAATTCAAAATAATCAATTTTTAAAATCATTAACATGGATATCTAATTCATTCTTAA